GCGCCTTCGCCGCCCGGTTCGCCGGCGGCGGATCGGGTCCGAGTGGAGGTCGTCTTCCCGGGCCTTCTCCGCCGCCTCCTTCTGCGAGATTACTTCCTCGCAGAAGGTTGCGACCGCGGTAAAACAACTGTCGCTACCGGCCATGGAGCGTACTACGGCCGGTAGCGAGAGATCCACTCCGATGACTGCAGTGAGGGCCCGGCGCTGCGCCGCCCATGCGGGGCAGACCGCCAGCGGGTGCTGGGCCGAGTCCTCACTGCAGTCGCAGTGGTGGCAGGCGGGACTCAGTTCCCTCCTAGCGACCGAGTGCAGGTACTTTCCGAAGCAACCGTGCCCGGAAAGCACCTGCGTCAGCCGGAAGGAAAGGGTCCCGTGCCTGCCGCCCTGCCCACTCGGCGATGACCGGCTGGAGAGCCTCCACGGCGGCGAAGCCAGCGCGTGGAGTCTCCAGCCGGAACGACCAACGAGCCATCGTGGCTCGGCGAGCGGCTTCGCGCCACTCGCGCACATCCTCGGGTGGAGGGCGAAATCCGCTCTCCGCTCGGGAGTCAGCCACTCGCCGATAAACTTCGGCGAGCACTTCCGCCTCCAAATCGCACGGGGGAGTTCCGGCCAACGCGCATGCCACCTCCGTCGAAACGGTGCGGTAACCGCGTATGGCTCTGACCGCCATTACCCTCTGAGGGCGCCAGAGGCGTGCCCTATTCTAGGCGGTCAGAGCCGCCGCCCACACCGGTGCACCGTACAGTGCCATTGACCGGACAACCCCCGTGTACAGCCGTCTTGTCGCGACGCTGGGTCCACCCAAATTGGGCAAAAGTCGCCATAGGGCAAGCTGTCGGAAGTGCTCGTCGAAGAGCCACCTCCCGTCGAGGATCAGGCCCAGATATTTCATCTGGGCCCGAACCGGTACGAGGACCGAGTTGACCACGATTGAGGCGCCAGGGGGTGGACCACGACGGGGCCCATGAAATAACAGGGCCTTCGTCTTATCTAGGGCCACCCGTAAGCCCAGCGCCTCAATGCGCCCGACCACCAGGGAGACTCCCCCTGTGGCCAGGCGCGCCGGCTCTTGGAAGTTTGCCCCCCGGGCTGTCACCAGGGTTTTTTTTTTTTTTTTTTTTTTTTTTTTTTTTTTTTTTTTTTCCAAGGGGTCCAAGAACAGACCCCTGTGGAACACCGCACGACATGGGCCGACACCTCAAATTACCCTCTCGTGGTCCTCGTACACGACGGTACGCTCCTCTAAATAGTCTGCCACTAGCCGCCTCAGGTACTTTGGCACCCCATGATAGTGGAGTGCTTCCCTTTTGCAGCTGAATGGCAGACTATTGAATGCGTTGGCGATGTCTAATGACACCGCCAACAGCACGCCGCCACAGCTCACGGCCTCTTCGGTCACGGCCCTCAGGCGCAACACGGCGTCGACTGTCGAACGCCCCGCCCGAAAACCAAATTGGGCGTCCGACAGATCGGGGCCCACCTCGCAGAGGTGCCGGACGATGCGGGCAGAAAGAACCCTCTCAAACAATTTACCCGCCTCGTCCAGCAGCACGATGGGCCTATAGGCCGCGACCGAATCGGCAGGCCGTCCCGGCTTCCTTAATAGGACCAGCCTCCCGCTCTTCCAGCACTCAGGGAAGCGTCCCGACGCCAAGCTAGCGTCGAACACCTCCCCGAGGTGGTCTGCCATGTGGTTGAGGGCCAGGGCCAGCACTCGGGCCGGTACCCCGTCTGGCCCAGGGGCGGTGTTCCTGAAACGGATCCGTAGAACAGCCGCCCCTACCTCCGAATCCCGGACGGGCGGAACATCATCCTCCTCGTGCTCCCCGTCGTTTCCGGCCAAGGAGGCCATCGCCGGGGGAGTGTGTTCCGCTCGTTGCGGGAAAAGGCCCTCAACCACTTCTCGCAGGAAGCTGGGCTGGAGAGTCTCCGTAAGGGGGGGGGCCCGACGCGCGGAGCTTTTGTCGCGCCGCGCGGTAAGGGCGACCCCAGGGGTCACGATTAAGACCCTCCAGCATCTCCTCTCTCTTTTCTTCTTTGGCGCGGCTAATGGCGAGCTTCAGAGTTTTCCGCGCCTGTCGGTACTCCTCATGAAGCCGGTCCTCCTCACCGTCTCCACGGTGACGCCGCCGACTGCGCGTGTAGGACCTCCGGGCACGTGTACAGGCCGCACGGAGGTCCGCCAGCTCCTGGGACCACCAGTAGACCTCCTTCCTTGGAGGCCGACGACCTCGAATGTGGGGCATGGCCGCATCGCAGACATGCGTAATCGCATTGCGAAAGCGACCAGCCCCCACGTCGACCTCCTCGGTTGGAGCCTGAGGAGACAGCCACGAGTGAATTATGGCTGCCTCCTCTAGTAGGTCCCGGTTCAGTCTGGCAACAGCCCACCGCGGAAAGCGGGATAAACGCCGCGCCACGTGACCCCTACTGGAGTCCTGGGTCCGGGAGAGCTCAAATCGGATATAGAGATGATCCGAAAGGAAAACAAGCCCTATACCAACCCATCTGGCCAGCGTGGTATAGCCAAAACCTCTATTGGTCAAAGATATCAAAACGGTCGAAATTTGACTGCCTCTTGTATTAATAAGTATTGACATGCTAGTTAACTATTTTAATTAATTGTATCGATATTTGAAATGTTCTATCTTAGGTCACATATGAGTTAAGTGATACAGATAGTAATGGTAAAATGACCTATCGGTGTAAGCTCTTGATATGCCGAACTGGTGTCTAAATCAGTTGTACTTTTTTACATTTTACATTACAATTACAGCAATTAAAAAACTAGGGAATAGGTATGTTACATTAAATTTGATGTCAACATAGGTCCTATTGTCTGTCAAAAAAAAAACAATAAAGGTGGTCAATAATTAAGATTTATTTTAAATCTTATTTTTGGATTCATTTGATTACTAATTGGGTTTGTATCAATCTGATTACTAAGCAAAATCGAAACTAGCAATAAAATAGCCGGTAAGATCATAATATAAAAATAAATCTTAAATACTCAATAAAACTGCAAACTTATTTCTATGATTAGATCAGGATATAAGTATATGATGTTGCCTAGTTGATGCATTTATCTTAGTGGCGTCTCTAAGCGCAGGACGGACTTACGGATAATTAATTCCGGGTTTCACCAGTTACTGAAGTCTTTATCCCTTTTCCCCATTTAAAGATTTGTGGCTTATCCTAGGTCCCTTGCCCTATAAGAATATTTCCTGTCTCGTGGGGGACTATACAGACATACATAAAACGAACACAAAGAACACCCAGGCTCAGAACAATAAGTTGTATCAACAGATCCAGGTAATATTCTTCTTCTACTTCATCATCATCATCTTAGTCGAAAGACGCTCTCTGCTGGACATAGGCCTTCCCAAGGTTCTCTATACTTCGCAGTTTCATAATTTGACAGTTAAGCAAGATCGCCAGAGCTGTTTGAGGGAAAAGAAAGGGCACTATTGCATTTATATGATAGAAACTATAACATAAAACAGATGTGCTGAAATTTCTGGTCATAGTTTTATGATAGCTGATAATATCTCATACGGTTATTGTGTACCAGATGCAAAAAAAAATATTAGCTTGTCGTCCTTCTTGCATTTTGTTGTATTCCTATTACTGTCAATTGCAGATCATTTAACTTTAATAAGTTTATAAGTTTTTTGACAATACAATTTTTTATTGAGAAATAAGATGAGCGATACGGCCAATATATTCATTTGTTATGGCTTTATCATTCTTTATGAAAAGCGTTTATTATCGTAGACTAGACTCAACTTCTGTGATCACTATCGAATTCTAACTTAACTATCGAATTCTAAAATTTAGCATTTGGTTTTTACATTGCTACATATTTACACCGATACAAACCTAAAGGCTAATTATAAAAAACTGGTGTTAGTGTCACGTGATCTTGCGTGTGCACCACGCGGACCACCTGCCAATAGTCGAGCTATTCTTGCCAGTGGCGCGCCACTTATAATTACCGGCGTCTGAAATTGCATACGTCCTACAGTTTTCTTTATGGAAATTATCTGATCAAGTAGCTGCTGTGTTATCAGATTAATGGCTTAGTTTCAGTAATAAGATTAAATTAAATATCACTTTAATCGATTTGAAAAACAACATAGAGCTGTTGCTTTATTGACTGACGAGCAATTCGAAGATTTTGATATTTTTTGGTTACAAAACCAAATTCGAGTATATTCCTCGCTATGTATAACTCCTATAAAATAAATGCTTTTTTTACAATTAAATACTGTTTTAGATATAATCAAAACACAATAAATTGTCAGTAATCGAGAGACCGCTTGCATAAAGGATGCGAGCTAAGGATCCAATCTTAGCGCACAACTAGAATTACAACAATTTTAAGAAACTCTTGTAATTATTGTAATTCTAGAAACACCTAGTCCGTGTGGTACGGAGTGCCACGGACAACAGTACTACAAAGAGAAGGAAAACTTGACACAAACCTTGTACCAACCTATCCGTATAGTAGGCTAAAACATATTTCCTAAAGAGAGGCCAATGACCAGCAGTTGACTATTAGGGACTGTTGATGATTGCTGACAAGAAACCTCTGTAAACTATTTTTTCCAGATCTTAGTAAGTGAAACAAAAAATTATAAGGACGTCTGCAATACAAAATCTATTTGACTCTAGTTAAAAAGTCCTGTTGTTAAAAGCGTCCAATAAATAAGGTAAAGGCACGGTACAATTATACCGTGGTAAAGGTGTGCTGTTTCTTTTTATTTTTCTGTATCTATGAGTGTGATAACTAAGCATTTCTTGTATTTTTACGCATACACAGTATACTGCTAGGATAAAAATAACACAAAACGAATTTGTATTTAATATCAATTTACATGCAAATTCATCGGTGATTGAAAATCCGTTGTATGAATCAGCTACATAAATAGAGTTTAAAATTTTAAGGCTTTCTGTTTATTACAACCGTTTGGAATATTAAGTAAAAATATTCAACAATGCCTGGTATTAAATAAATAATGGACGGTTTCTTCGAAATTAAATTCATTTGTAGTTAAATTCTATTGCGATTCTCTAAATAGCTTCGTTGGAAATATTTAGAATTGGAGAACTTGAATTGACTGTAGATATTGTTATATTTACGGACCGATGTAGACTAAAAAACTAGAACTTTTGCCTTCGTTCTTACCTGTATTATATATTTTTTTTATTTTAACAGAAATATCTTACTATGAAATCGTCAAATATATACGGGCGAGCATGTATTAGATGTTTAACTCAATCGGGACTTAATCGCAATAACAATTGAAGTACAATACATTTCTTGGAAGAAATTACTTGCACGAACGTGGTTTGGCCCGAATTACACATTAAAATAAAGAAATATTGAAAAAGTTAAAAACATGATGTGTGTGTATATTTGCCCGGTAAATGCATAAAGGATTTAAATTCTAAATTAGGATTCTATATTATTATTATTACTTGGTACAACCTATACTGTCTTAAATGCTATTAGTTGGCACATAATATGGTCGCAACACTTCTGCTACGCTTATTATACCAAACATCTTTATTTGAATCGAGTGATAAATTATATAATTTTTTGTAATATTATTAACGTCTAGTTGTCACTAGAACAAGGTTTTGTTGTTTTATGTAGATATGGATGATACGCATATAATTTAAGCGTATTCAATCGATCTGATGAGGTAGCACCAGAAATCATCATCAACCGATTTACTGCGGTATTGTAAATCCACAACAAATTAACAAATAAGTAGCTTTAAAGAAAATTTGCACTATTTAAAGTTCAGGAACAGTAGTAGTTAATGTATAGTATTGTTTCTCTGTTACAGATACACATACAGATACATTTACGATGAACACTAGTAAAATATATTAAGATATGTTTTTGTTTGTTGCAGATCATATACGAGAATTCTCTTGTGGGAGTCTATTCTACCGCACTTTGTATCTGAACGAGGAGAGAAACACACTTTATGTTGGTGCTATGTAAGTTATATTTGCTCATTGAATGCAGTTTCTAACATAAATTGCACACATATGTTCGTAATGTACGTAAATGGAAAATGTTTATATACCGCTAGCTGTGGGAAAATAGAATTACTGTGTTCTTTGACCATAAATAAGTATGCTGTGTTTGTAGGATTTAGATGAGATTTTAGAGTTTGGATTAAATCTTTTGAATAAGTCTACGGTTTATATAATATATTTTCTATTTGTATTAACTTTTTGTGTCTAACCTTCGAAAACCATTTTATTTTATGTTTAAAACCTTAGTTTAGTCCTTTTCGTATCGATTTTTAAGCAAAATTGCAAGATAATCGATTAAGAAGTTCAGGCGTGAAAGGTTACAAAGAAACAAAAAACTTATTTTCACATTTATATTTCTTATATATTACTTTGAATTCTTTTTACTTGGATGAGATGGCAATGAAATTAAAAACACAATTTCCCAAACAACTTTTTTAAACTCTTAACGTCTGAGAACTCATGTGATTTTTCTTTCTTTAAGCAATACAGTAAACGTAAATGAAGACGAACGACAAACACTCACTATTTATTTCCCCCTGTCCCCTGTTCCCCCTGTCAGAGTAATCATAACTATTGTTATTTAAAAAATATATAAATATAAATGTACAAAAATATAAAGTACAAATAATTAATGAGTGTTTTCATACCTATAAATATCGCTACATAAATTCTGATTTAGCATCATCTATCGCTTGTGCGGATAACAAGTTTCTTGCCCATTTCCCTGGAGCGAAATTTATATTCAAACACAAGCCCTTATGGGTTATAAATAAAAGTAAATTGTTAGACCTGTATTAAAGATTTACATCATGAAAACTACGTATCAAGCTAAAATGTGCCAGTTATTACATAAACCAACTAATTAAAGAGCAAACGAAATGATTTGTTTTACTCGTATACATTTTACTATTAATTGCTCGAATTATACTTGGCATGCTTTATCAGAAAGTGAACTATAAACATGCGGTTACAATTGTGGTGTATTAGTATAACTACTTGCCATCATTTTAATGATTTACCCGAGGGAAATGGGCTCGAGACATGAAACGGTATTATCCACCAATTTCTGTCAACTTTGTTTGTTCTCGTTAGTTTCATATTCTTGTTATTGTTATATTATTACAATAATGGTTTTTGCAAGTAATATGGAGCTGAAATAAGTAAATGGCCCCCTTTTTTTTTTCCGTGCGGAAATCCCCTCGGATACCACCTGTCGGTGGCATGTCGGACACGAACCGACTAAAACCGCAAGTAAATGGCCCCTAGTGGTGGCTTAGTAGTTCAATTATAACTACAATACGTATTATTTTTTAAGCGTGAATGTATTTCAAAATGTTGCTGCGATTTATTGTCCACTCTCGACTCAAGAGGGAAGGATATTGAAATTTTATATATTTATCAGATCAATGTATTTACACAAATTGTACAAGATACGACACACGTCTCTAAACTGATGAATTTGATGAAGATATTTATTCCTTCTTCATAAAATAATCTCTAATTCACCAGGTATTGTAATCACTCCCTAGGGCCGTGGCGTAATGTTTAATAGGCAAAATTATTTCTTAATAAATAAAAGTATTTGTTAAGGAATGCCAATATCATTCCTTAACAAATACTTTTATTTCGAATCTATCTATCTTTCGAATAAAGATTCAATACAATATGAATAAATTAATTCAAAACTATCGGCTTAGACATTATAGCGTTTTAACAAATAAGAAACCAAAAATATCTTCAGATTTTATTATAATAGAAGTTTTATCACATTTTTAAATAGTAATGTTTTTGTCTTACCTACATAAAAATATTGTTACCGGCCTGTTGCCGCCTGCTCGCCATATTTCCAGGCTTTCTAGAGAAATCGCCTAGAATTTCCGAACAGAAAGAGACCAATAATAAAAATCTCAGTATCCTATTTAGTTATTGTGATTTGGTGAAATTACATTCAGGCATTTGTTTTCGTTAAATTTTTACTGCTTTATGTTGAGCCGTGGAAAAGAACAGAAATTCGAATCTTCAATGACAAGTATAAACATAGTTGTGTAAATAGGTACAATTTTAATATTTCTAGGCAATTTAAAGTCGAAATCTCGTGCCAGTAAGTTTAATAGCCTTTATAATTTAAACTCTAATGAGTTTTAGGGTATAAGCCGTTGTAAACATAAAACGCTCATACGCAATAGTACTTAACCTTACCACACCAGAAAAGTACGAGTCGGATTCGTACACCGAGGGTTACTTATAAACTTGGTTATTTATAAAATATCGTCCATATCTTTTCCGGGTAAACTTAATTTTGACATTCTCAACGTATTCGTAAATCGAGATTCTAAAAGATTTGCATTTTGTTTGTAGTCACAATCAGATGTTTTTTATTAAAAAAAAAAAATTAAAAAAAAATTGAGTAATAAAAATTAAGTTTAGAGTTTGAGATGAGAAATAACTCGTTAGAAACTTATGGGTCACACTACTTAAAAAAAAAATCAGCTGTGATATAGCCGATTTTGTTTTCGCTATTATCGATATATCCGTATTTGTCAAAACATACAAAAATACAACATATTTATCCAGGGTGGGAATTGACGGGGGGGGGGGGTCGTCTACTCGTCTGTAGATGACCCGAGGTATGTCGGGGCACCAGGGACTTCCTTTCTAGGGTATACCTGGTTCCCCGGCTATTAGTACCCGAGACGGCGTGCGGTTTTAGTCGGTTCGAGTCCGACATGCCACCGACAGGTGGTATCCGAGGGGATTTCCGCACGGAAAACAAAAAAAAAAGGGGTGGGAATTGAAGCCACTGCTGAACACTCAGGATCTTTTACCACTAGACTAATTAAAGGGCCAGCCAATTAAACTGAGTAAAGAAATAAATATTGATCCTATTTTTATATAAGATTTTATTACGTTGACTACTAATATAACTGAAGACGTTTTTCACAGAATTTGTAATCTTAATTGAATAATTTTAAAACAAATTCTTACTATCATCTAATTTTAAATTTAAATCTCTGTTAAATTCGATTTATTTTAAAATTTAGATTTTACGTTCGTCTTGTAATTTCAGACTCGAGTGGCACTCAATGTAATTTTGAGTTTACGAAAGGTTTTAATATTTCAAGAATGTCTTTTTTGACCCAACATTTTTGTGCACCTAATTATGTAAGTCCAAAAGCAGCAGCGGAAGTATACCGTGAGATTATGTGAAGAGATTAGAGTGTTAGAGAGTCCGAAATTTTCAACAAGCCAGTTTTCAACTGGTTTCGCCAATTACTTATAAGTTGCGACCTTGGCTTAAAAGCTTACCATTCCCAAATTTATGCATGTTCTAAATGTATGTGTGTCCATGTTATTGGTAAACTGAACTAACTCCTGAACGGAGAATGAGAGAGAAAAAGTAAAAGGAAGGCATTGCATTTATATGTATACTCATATATGTTTTATTGTTTTGAGTTGACATAAAATGTTTCAGTTTACAGTTTATGTTAGAGCCATAGATTAAGTACATTCTTAAACCAAATATATTTTACAAAAGTCGTAAAAACTTTACGTACCAATACAGAATTGTCAATAAATCTTGTGAAACTAACTAGCCTAACTGCAGTGAACACTCCAGCCTTAACAAATGCGAAGAGTTACAATTTATTTTACACACTGGTTTTGTTGTTATCTATGGAGTCGAATATACCTAAAATGTTATGTGTTTATTATTAAATGAAATGTTTTGTAATGAAAATCTATGAATCCATACTTATATTATAAATGTGAAAGTGAGTTTTATCTTTTTTTGTTTGTTTGTTACTATAAAACTAACAAACCGATTTAAAAAAATGCTTTCATCAATGGAAAGTCACATCATCTGTGAGTAACATAGGCTACTTACGTGAACTAGGCGTGCACTGTCGCGAGTCTCTTACTTTCCATGTCCTGACAAATTTTTGGGTGTTTTGTTAGTCAACTCTTAATAGTAGGTCCGTGATGAACCCAGATGTCAAGCTAGTTTCCAAACAGGCCCTCCTTTTCATACAGAAAAAAAAAGTATGGTAGCGAAATATGGGTGTGCAATTAAATCTGCCAATACCTTCAAGGACACGGGTTTAAAAGTTTATAAAAATATTTACTAGAAATATTAAAGTAGTCAAAAGGTTAAAATGTTACTTTCTATTTTCGTGAACTTTGATCACTCACGACATTGTTGGCCCCTAAACAAAAGAAACTCCGAAAGCGTCGCGAAGGCATGACATGTACGAAGGAACTAGGTTTTATGACGTTAAACAAAGGTACAATACCTCGTTGTGTTTGTTCCACCAAACGATTATTTGACAGTATGCGCATAATTTGACTTCCTTAGAGGTTAGGAAAAATATTGTCTGGCCTGTTGGCTTAGTAATTAGTGATCCTGATTGTTCAGATTTCGGTTTCGGTTTCGATTCAAACCCAATATTAATAACAGTATAATAAGCACAATCATTTGTTCTGTTTCTGGGTGCAATTTATCTATCATAGGTACTTATGTGTTTAGAAATAATCAGCAGTTTGGTTGACATAGTACTGGCTCTACCTAGTTTGGGATCAGACGACCGTGTGAAATGTGTGCAGAAGTGTGTGAAATATGTACTTAATATTAAAAAAATGTGTGGTGAAGGATTAAGAATTCATAATAAATAGATATAAGAAAACGGGAAAACCACACTGTCATGCATCGTAATATTAGTAAATAACACATTTAATATGAATAAGAATACAGAGTGTCACCACCCATATTCATCCCGTGGGTGTCGTAAGAGCCGACTAAGGGAGCAAACTACGCAGGACAACAGCACTGCAAAGAGAAGGAAAACTTGACACAAATCCTATACCAACCCGTCTGGCTAGCGTGGTATAGTAGGACTATATAAGGAGAGGTCTATGTCCAGCAGTGGACTATTAAAGGTTGTTGATGATGGTGATGATTAAAAAAAATGGATTACTAGATTAAGAGTGAGAGTATGCCTGTTCTTGTTATTTTTGTTACCTTGTTAATAAAGCCCGCAAAGGGACACTACTTATATCTAAAATGGTTTTGTTGAAACCGACATTAGGAGTTGATTAAACTAAAAATATAATATCACTAATACTATTACCATATGTTTTAAGTTAGTTAAATTTATTAACTAGTAAAAAGAACTTAAACCGTGTTCCCTTTACAATCGGGTAACCAGTAAGTAGGTGGTCCACAGGCAATATCTTAATTAAAATACCGTCACGCACAACTCTGTAGTACTAAAAAGCATTAATGTTAAACGGCTAACAATTCTGTATAATTTAAACGACTCGTTCAGTGGATAGTGGACGCAAAAAGAAGTAAAATATAAACTGTCTATGCATATGTTTTCACCGACCGGGGACGTCTGGCGTTCGTTCAATTCCATCGTGTTTAGTCCGTTATTTGAATACGTAATTCAGCTAAGAAACTATTATTATCTCATTTTGTTTCTTAACTCTCCTTATAAATATATCTTAAACATTTTTTTTATGTTAATCTTTTCTATCTTTGTTGCAGGGACCGTGTGTTCAAGTTAAATATGTCTGATATTAGTCAATCACATTGCGAGGTAAGTTTTATTATCATATTATTATTTTCATTACTGTTAGTATACACAAAAAAGTATGCGCATGTAACCATGGAAGCTAGTCCAGCCAATACAGACGTGTATATTCCGGGGATGCGTAACTAGTTTCTGACCCGACGGGCCTTTGCCAAGGTATGAAGCTTCCTTCCTCGTGTGACACCTGACACCGTCGTAAATATTAAATAACTATTGTAGATAGTGGGCTTTTATCGTAAGCAACAATAGCGCAGTTCGTACTCTTTCTTAACAGGAAAATATTCTTCAGTTATTATAAAACCATCTACAACTATCTTGTAACTTCAACCACAACCCTAAAATTAACACCAAAGGCATTTTGTAAAGTAAAATTAACCACGTGCTGACGGTTGCTGAATTCTGAAGAACTCTTTTAAGGTACTACACTAGATTTTTAAATGAAAGATGCATACATTTACGTTTTTTCTACCTTTTCACACGTAAGTGTCATAATCTTTTGATATTAATACCCTCTTACCATAAAGGAAAATATGAATGAGTTGAAATGTACTTTGTTTTGTTTGTATCAAGTACAAGTTTCATATCTATTTTTGCTTTAATAAAACTGGGGTTTCACGCGGTTCCCTAAGGAAAAAGTAAGATTTTTTGGAGTAGAAATGGTTATTGGTACGTAGTATCGAAAATACGATTTGTGTTTGACATGCAGAAGTGTATTTGTTATATTTTTAATAGTAAACTATATTGTTCTGTATGGATTGTACCGGTTTCCTCTGTATTGTGTGCAAGTATTGTTATCATTATCATATGATATATACTGTAACTTATACTCCTACATGTCACATACCTCCATGTCTGTGGGTATACTCATTATAAATTATGCCTTACTATTACTTATAGCCACGATTTTCGAAGTTTCACTGCTAATAATTAAAATGTTAGATCTTTTTTGATATTATTGTGTTTTAAGCCTAAAAAATAAGGAAAGTAAAACATTATGAATTAAACATTAAGAAAGTTTTTAGTATTGTTATTCTAAAGAAATGCGTTTTTAATTCGTTGTATTCCTATTGCAATATCATTTGGTGACGCTGAAGTAGAAACGTTATATAAATGTTGCTGTATACGTTATACCGTAGTATGTACCCTTACATGGACGTTAAAACATCTAAAAAAACCTCTACATTCTTGTGTATGCATTTATGGTGCAGTCATAAATACGTTTAAAATGTCATACGAGTAATAAATTAAAGGCGATAAATTGGCATCGTAAAAACCGCTATAGTGTCCCGTGCTGTCAAATTTAAATATCTCATAAAGACGTAGGATAATCGTACGGAGCCAGTACCTTCATAACCATAATTACCAGTCTTCTCTTTTGATACTGAATGATTGATAGGCAATAAAAAGTTAAGGAAACTGCTTCTCAGTCAAAAGTAATACTCTCTGTGTTTGTGAATCCGGCACCATATATCTTGTGAGTCTGGCACCATATATCTTGGAAATTTGCGAACATGTTAAAAAATTCTTAAGTGAATATAATAGTGCTGGGGACAATTCAGACATAGGTAAAAGATATCCCACTAGATGTTAATGTCTGCATGTAGGAGCTCTTTTTTTCATAGTAACTGGTATATAATGTGTATTAGAGTTTTTAATAAATTGCCCAAGTCAATTCGCGAATTGCCACTGTCTAAGATGAAGGCTGAATTGAAAAAATGACAGATACAACAAACTTTTTTATAGCATGAACGAATTTTTCGATCTGAAAGTTTGAAATCTAAAGTGAATTAAATTTTGACCATTTGACATTAATTATCCTATTCTATTTTAATTTCCAGGTGTGCATATATATAGTAATTTTAATTTTAATTTAGTGAAGCGTTTTAATTTTTAAATTTAAAATGCAATTTTTATGTAATTTGATTTGTAATGTAATCTGATTTAAATTAAGATTTGCATGACAATATTGACGAAATGTGTGATTCAGTACTCCATGTAACATCCACAAATGTACCACATTATTTTTCAACTACCTTCACCAGTATGTTTTCTTTACAGCGAGACACGTTACTATTAGAAGCGAGTAATGTGGCGCGATGCGTGAGTAAGGGCAAGTCGGAGCCTTTCGAGTGCCGCAATCACATCCGCGTGGTGCAACCTCTTGGGGATGGAGAGAGACTCTATGTTTGTGGCACCAACGCTCACAGTCCTAAAGACTGGGTAGTGTATGTAAGTAAACATTAAAAAATGTTTTGATCATTTTTTTTATTTCAAATCAAAGTTGACAGTTTCTTGTTTGTATAACTGACTTACGGTATTGTATATTGAAATTAATTTAACTGCGAATTTACAACAGTTGCCAGTTAGTTCCAACAAAAAGTCTACTTGTGCTCCAGGGTTGGGTGAAGATTGTTTCCTTGAAAAGGCCCTCTGGTAGTTATTATTTGTATAATACTAGTTGACCCGAGCAACTTCGTCTGCGTTCCTTAAATGGAAACCATTTTCCCCGTTTTTGTAAAACTTTTCGTTGATGCACGCCTCTCATTGGTCTTATCTCTTAATAAATGTAAAAATTCTCAAATAAATTTTAAAAATCTTACCTCTTTATTGAACTTTAAAATCATTTCATAGAATAAGAGTAAAGCAAATACAAAAGTTGTTGAAACGTTTAACAATACTTTCTGTACAAATGTGTATGAAATAATTGGTAAATGACGTAACACTTAACTGTTGCCAAATTATTTACTTTTATTTATTTTGTTTGAAAATCTAAAATCGACTAAGAAATTGAATTTTCACGCATACCTATAACGTGTAACGTGTAAATTTTTGTGCACAAAGTGCAGTGCCTTCAAAGTACTTATTATGTAAGTATAAGTAATGACGTATTGCATTGATTATTTACAAATAAACATTCTACATAAGAAGTTTTAGGTTTCAATGATGTCCTTAAAAATATAAGATGTCTTTATATTGTAATTTAAGATTGTAATAGTTGGTCAGAGTAGTAAGTACTAGCCATTCGACTCTACTGAAATCACAGAAGTACTGATTAAAGCGTTACCTTATAACATCACGAACGGGATAGATTATAGTCCACTAAACAAAAAAAAAGAAGTAAGGTTATTAATGTCCTTACGTTATCTGATCACCTATGTGACATTCACTAATCTTAAGTTATGGGCTGCTCTATCCTTTTTCTTTTAAATATTTACTCGTAAACATTAGTAATATTTTGTAGCTGATCTCAGCTTACCTACTTATCATCCTACGCAAGTTATTGTTGTAGGCTAAAGACTCTTTTATATATGTGCTTAATATAAATATGGGTGCTTAAGTATGTGTATATTGAGGGTATAAGTAGTGGTTTATTAAAATGTTCGTTAGTATCGATTAACTTTTGCGCGAAGATAGATTACGAGTATAATAGAATAGAAGATTAGTAGAATAGAGATTATAGTAATAGCACATAGGTTACATTTTATAAAAAAAGTTAACTTCACTGGGGCTAGCTCACTTATTAGTTCGTCGATTAATTGAAAAAAAAATTCAATATTTTACGTCGTAGACCCATTAATTTAGTTTCTGCTTTGAACGCTTTTACGCTTCTGTTATTAATTGTGTTCATAGATAGGTATACTTGTGACTACGAACGGTGTTAGTCGAAATGTTTGAAAAGTTAATCCGCTTATTTGTTTCAGTTATTATACAGTAATAAGTTTACACATTTAATCTGTGGCAGTGAGTAGTACGTGCACTTTTTAAAAGTCATTATGCAGTGATTATCAGAGCTTTGTTATTATCACTTAGATCCGTTCACCCAAAGTTATAGTAAGACGGTCACAGTCATCTAAATTTTAGTTTTACGAAATATGCTTTAAATTTTGAGTACAATTTAAATACGCATGTTGATATTCGGTTGATTCTACTCGGATCTGATCTAAAATTTATTTATTATGGGATTAGCTTAATTACCACAGCAATTAATTTCGCCGCCGGTCAGTAAATTTACAAAGATAATTTAAGTTTGTATCTTTATGTTTGTATATTAAGTGTAAACAACTGTTTTATGTATCAGAGAATCATCTCTAATTTGACAAGTTCTGTTTTTTATTCTGTTCTTATAATGTCGCTTAGATTGACGCTCAAGCTCCTTTCACTCCAACGCTCATGTTTTTTTTAAATAATAGTATTTAATTTATTCAAGTGTATAATCCATTGAAAAAATAAATACGGAATTTAATCAGATAAAACTAAATAAATATAAAAAAAACAAGTTCAATAAAGTCAAAAAAATACAAAATCATATCTAATAAATTATAATCAAATTTAAAATAAAAAAATAAACTAAAATTAAATTAAAAATGCAAGATGTTAAACAAAGTCAAAAATTAAAAAAATAAATAAATCAAGAGTGGATGTCAATTTGAATTGAGTTATAATTTTATATTGTTACCTACATTATATTTTTACACATTTATACACTAACTGTTAGGACTAACAGTTGCAGTTGTGGTACCTCCAATGCATTCCAAAAATTGCTATCATCCCTATTCTCAGCAAACATTCATTTTATATAATAGTGGCATCGTTGTACAATAGGTCGTTCAGATCAGATTTAAACTTATTATCTTAAGGCAGCGTGAATACCTTAAAAACCAGGTCAAGTTGTCGTTTAAGTCTCTGTTCAACAATGCTAATCGTCATTTACTTAGAACAGCAGAATACTCGGTGGTTTTAAATAGGAAATAAGAGTTATATTTACGAATACTTAGACTCATCGATGCATAAAAATCAGGCACTCACGTAATAATTTAACTAAAAATGTATCTTCATGTACTCAATGTCATGATAACTCAATGTTATTTCAAATGACAAAATATTTGACACTACTATGTTTACAGACATTAATCATTCAGGTGGAAATACCCAATTACTAATAAGAATTGTTTGTATGTAATATGTTGGGGCATGTTGGCAGATGTCGCTTATTTGATTTTATGAACATATTGGATGTACAGTAAGCAACACAAAGTTCGGTAAATCAAAACATGTTTTTTAATCAATGAAAAAATCTATGGAATGTAAAACTTGCAGCATATGTGACTTTTAATCGTTCCATTAGTTTGCGACTATTGAGCTTGCGAAGCTTCTTATACTCTTAAACTATACAATGTATTTTGCCTCTTTGGTGCTATTTTCTCACCTAATTTTATTCAAACGTTAGGCTGTTTACACAGCTTTTTACTTTTTAACGTTCAACTATTATGTAGCGAAATTATATAGGAGACACCTGTATACCCTCATATACGAAATACCTGACCTGCACCTGTCTGGAGTAGTCTCTAGAGTATTTCTCTAGTTTCAAAATAATCAATCAGTTCTCAAATCTCTAGTTACAAGTGTCATTAGTGTCATCAGTCATAGTAGTGTTTTATTAAAACAAACAAGTTAAACTGACCTATTCAGTTTTATTGTTTTTTTTATTGATTCTCAAAAACATTAAATATTGAATAAGAACAAAAGGTTACTCATTTTGGGCAAATGGATGACAGATGCTTTTGTCTAAATTTTGCTTTTGTCTAATGTCGGCTGAAACGGTCGCATTTGGGTAAATGTGTACAAAAATCACGCTTGAGCCGAATAACTCTCAGGCGTCTAATGAACAAATTCAAGTCAAATACTTTAAAGTTAGGTTATATCTTAAAAGTAAGTTGCTAACCATTTACACTATTTTCTATTCTTTTCCAATACAGCTGAATCTCACACATCTACCCCGACACGAGTACGTGCCGGGCGTAGGTCTAGGTGTGGCGAAATGTCCCTACGACCCGGCTGATAACAGCACAGCAGTATGGGTGACTCAAGGCAACCCTGGTGGTCTACCTACGTTGTACGCAGGAACTAACGCGGAGTTTACTAAGGCAGACCCAGTCATATTTCGAAATGATTTATATGACTTCAGGACTGGTCAAAAGAAGTTTAACTTCAAAAGGACTTTGAAGTATGATTCGAAGTGGCTGGATAGTAAGTAAAATTATTGTCAACATCTTATTTTTATTTCAATTAGATACAATAACATCCACCCTAGTTTTAAGTCTATTTTACGCGGAGTGGTTGCTATAATAATATGCATTTACCGTCTAAGTACCTGGATGACCAAGCTTTGCTCGGTACTTTTTCTAAAAATGAAACCTAGCGTTTCCGAGATTCAGATTATATGTCTAAAACCTTACAATGAGTAATTCTTGTATACATAATATCTGAATCTCGGAAACGGCGCCAACGATTTTTATGAAATTTAGTATGCATGCATTCATGTTTAGAAAATTTACCAAAAAAAAAACGGAGCAAAGCTCAATCATCCAGGTTAAGTAGATAGGTACGAAACTTAAAACAATACGTAAATATACAAGAATGCTCGTTTAAAGGTATTAGATATATATGCCTGGTTTTTGACAGTTGTTGGTCACAATTCAAAAGTTTGAGTAGTAAGTTATATACGTACTTCTAACTTAATTATTATGGCAAGTCATTAACAAGGTTAATAGAGTAGCAGTAGGTTAGGTAAAATTATTATTTTATGATTCTGTAATTTTATGCTCTTGGAATATATTTTAATGTTCTAATTAGGTATATTGTGGTAGTAAAACCAGTTACATTCAATATACTGGATGTGTAAATCAAGGTACGTTCATTATATTAATCGGGAAATTTGGTCTTTGTCCCTTATTCCGTACTTTCTTTTATGAGACTACGATAAAACCTATAGGTGCTTACTCTTTATCGTAGGCGCATAAAAGGAAATAAAGAAGAACCTTGTGCAATGTCTGACCTGTCAGCTAAACGACCCGAAATAAAAGCCTACATTTTATTAGTTATTGGAAATTTTATCGGAGAGAATATTCCAGACCGTTTCAATGTATAAACGGTATACACAATTGCAAATGGAAATAGTACGCTCTTAACAGACATTGTGCCTCGTACCTTCTTTTACAGACACAAATTGAATAATCGAATATTTTGCTACAAGCTTTTTTCTAAGATTTGGTCTTTATGAATTGTCTAAACGAATCATCCTTTAAAAAGAACAGTTTTATTTTGTCCCAGAAACTAACTTCGTTGGTTCATTCGACGTGGGCGAGTATGTTCTGTTCTTCTTTCGCGAGACTGCTGTCGAGTTCATGAACTGCGGTAAAGCGGTGTATTCTAGAGTGGCAAGAGTATGTAAACAAGATACCGGAGGAAAACACATTTTGAGCCAAAACTGGGCCACGTATCTCAAAGCTCGCCTCAATTGTAGCATACCAGGAGAATTCCCATTCTACTTTGATGAAATTCGTGAGTATATTTTTGTAACTACAATTTTAAGTTCAAGTTGTACCAATGTATGTAACAATTGTAAGTTAATTTAATTTAAATAATCTGAATAGTGTTATGGATATTAATTTGCTGTACACAGAAAACTGTGAAGACGCTTAATACAAATTTATTACCGAGCGTTTCTAAATATAACTAGAAACTTGAAATGTTTGAGTGTTTCAGTCTATAGGATCCATTATGACCACAAACATAAATAGTTAATTAAGCTTGAGAAATCAAAATTGAAAATATTATTTTTTAATTTATTATTTGGTATTTATGTCAAAAAATGCAATTACATTAAACTTTCATGCATGTCTTCAGAATCATTGTATCTCGGCAGTCAAGAATTAATCGAAAATTTTAATTATAGTTCAAATTTTATGCGATAAATAATGACTCGTGACTTTCATTGCAAAAGTTGTAAACTGCTATTATAGTCCATAAGCTTGTAGCAACATTTTAAGTATCTACTTAAAACTTAAAGATCGGCGATAGTCACTTTACCTTCTATAAGGTTCAATGGCTTAATTACAGTCCGAGTCTTATTTATCTTATAAACGCTTTAAAGGCTGTGGGGATAAAGGCTAAACAGTGTTTTAAGGATAAATGTCTGATACAGAAAGCGTGTACCAAATGCCGGGTGAACCGAATAGGTTCTATGCGGCTTTCACGACGGGTGCTAGCGACGGACTGGTTGGCTCCGCTATATGTACTTACGCTATGGACGATATACAAGAAGCGTTTGCTGGCAGGTTCAAAGAACAGGTTAGCACAGTTTCCTTATTGTATCTTTTGTTCCTAAATTTATGACCTAACTTTACTGCTACGGAATATATTCAAGCAAGTAATGAGTATATATTATGTCCTTCATTTCCTGTCCCGTCTCAAGTGAGGGGATAAAATAAGGTTTACTGTCGTTTTTAGATGTATAATAGTACTAATCGTGGTTATTATGCAAACAGTTTTAAATGTGGTATGCTATATAACAGCGTTATTGTAGTTTCACCCGTATTGCTAACAATCATTTGAGATGATACTTCCTATTACATAGGATTCTTAACCAGAAGTAAATGTTTAATTGTTTATGAACTATAAGTGTTACTTGTGACTACGGATATTAAAATTCATATACACGACACGACAGTTCCCATCAGGCCACTGTCATAATTCGTTTCATTTATAGTAAAAAAAATAAAAATGTTTCTGTACAAATCTGACTGATAATAGTAAAAAGCATGCAACTGACATTAATTCCAAAGTTATAATAAGCTTGTTGATTGAATTTACATAAATAAAAAGCAAAGTAATAACTATTCAACGTTGACGTTCAAAATGCCGTTTCATAATTAAACGATAAAATTATTGTAGCTTTTATGTAGTACGTAGGATCACTAATACGAGACCTTGTTGTTTCTAGTTCACATTATATTTATTTATTTAAACGTTCAGATATCATAATGATCTTATCTAATGAAAGTATTTTGTGTTATGTTTATCTGTAACGGTGATCGTATTTTATATATGTTTCCAACAGGCATCATCAAGCTCAGCATGGTTACCAGTTCTAAGAGCAAGGGTGCCAGTCCCTAGGCCCGGCACATGTGTCAACAATACTGAAGCGCTTCCAGACAATGTATTAAATTTTATTAGGTAAGTTGTTATTTTTTCATGATTGAACAGTAATTGTGTATTTTACACAGAAATCATACAGACGTCCATAATTTTTTTTGTTATTTTTAATATTTTAATGAACTTGGTTGCGTTTTAAATTTCGACTGAGCCAATTTAATAATTATATTGATTATTATTATTAGAATATTTAAAAAAATATTACTTAACCGATTAATATATGTGTATAGAAAATATATTTATGTATTTATGAGTGTTAATGATATTTAATTTAAAATTCGTGTTTTTAGATACTATAATTGTAAAGGAATGCATTCGTTAAGGTCTGCAAAACAGATAACAGTTACGTGATAGGAAGAAAGTCAATTTTATATGAAAATAACTACAACTGATTAACACTGTGCGACCTGAATTATACTTTATTGTCGGATTAGGACTCGCTATTTATTTAAACTGTACTTGTATTTTCTGTACTTGTGCTTTTATGAATTGTGAAATAAATATACTTCTTAAATATCTTTAACGTTTGTCTGTGTTTCTTAACTGTATATAAGACACGTTTTTGACAAATTCAAATGTATATTCAAGATTTATTTATTTCACCGTAAAACAGATGCTTTCGTTACTTGCCTACCGTACATTATCCTAATCCTGATATGTTTTGGCAGAAGCTAGGTACTTACTTATTATTATTGTGTTTAACTAAGATATAAATTTCAAACGTTTGTAGATTTGTAAGATTAAGTATATAGATGAAATGTTTAACAATTTCAACATATTAGTAATCAAGGCGTTTGATCTCGCTCTCGGGAGCGTTATCTGAATATAATTGCTCAGTAGTTGACGTACATCTAAATTAGGTCATATAATAATTGATTGCGCATGAGATTTGAACTACGTTCTAATTTGAGGAACCTAATTTACTTGAAATTATATGATATGTCATCCCTAAAGAAATAGCGTGTATCAAAATTATCTTAATACCTTGCTGCAACAAGGTGTTGTCCGTTATAGATCAGATATGTTTCACCAAAGAATTATCCGAGAATTTATTTAAAACTAACCTGTTGATGGTTAGAGATTTTGACTGCTAAAACAGAGGCTGTCAGTTCTGAGGACAAATATGGTGTGATGACCACAAAAGAACATAAAGAGTATTTATTTCGAAATTTATAAGTACGTTTATTTCGAAATGCCCGGTGAACGGCTTGCCCCCTTTTTAATTTATATCCCGTGCAAAACAAAAAATCTTAGCACTTCAGATGGGGCTTAGGTCCACGGTCAAAAAAGTGTCAAATGAAGACTGGTTGAAAGTGGGGGTGAAAAGTGTAAAAAAGAGCGTATATTTTTAGAACGAGCATTTGAAAAAAAATCGACTGGAATAAAAAAAAATCGATTCTGCGCTTTATTACGGCACCACGCCGGCGGTACGCGAAAAAAAATGTAATTTGGTTTTCAGATGAAACATTTTATATACCATCGAAGAAAGTCATAACAAATAAATTGATAAGGTGAATGCTCACAGCATTGAAAAAGCGAGCGCGCGTATTCCGAGGGTTCAGCAAGGTCATTATCCTTCGTCATTCATGGTTTGGCGTAGAGTCTCATATTCAGGCTTAACTGGGGTGTTTTCTGTCAAAAAGGCGTGATAACCAGTGCTTTGGTGTACCAAAATACCTTGCTAATGAACCTAGTGGAACCTCTTTCCCAAACAATGTTCAAAAACAGACATTGGATATTCTAACAGGACTCTGCACCCGCTCATAAGGCAAGAAGCACGCAAAACTGGTTGACCGCCCGTGTAATTGACTTCATCGGGCATTAAGACTGGCCTTCTTCTAGTCCAGATTTAAACCCATTGGACTACATGATATGGCAATATTTAGAAAGTCTCCGCTAAACTTCATCAGAATTTGGAGTCTCTCCGAGCATCTCTGGTGAAAGCAGCTGCCGAAATAGATATAAATGTGGTACGTGCTGCGATCAAGAGCATGTATTCAGTATGATGGAGGGCATTTCCGATAATGTTAATAAAATTGTATTATATATTTAATTACCTTTCATTACATATATATTTTTTAATAATTATCAAAAAGTTTTTTTGACAGAATTTACGACCTGACCAAGTTAGTATTAGTATAATTGTGAACTCTGTATGTTGGTAGTTATACCGATATTGAAATAGACACAAGTGTTATGCGATGCATCAAGCTACATGCTATCTATACTGGAATGATAATGAAAAGCGATTATATACCACCCTCAATTAAATACATTTGACTTATACTCACTTAAACTATGGTGCTGAAAACTCTAGTGCTGTTATTAACATATGTTACACATAAGGGTTATTACATTTGTTTTATACAGGATATAGAACGAGCGAATAAGAAAAGAATTTAACGAAGAAGTTTACTAACACTATAACATTCTCTCTTGTTTGTTGTTGTCTACTGTAAGAAAGTTTATTTTTGCCGTAGTCCACTCTTGTTCCTTTGTCTTTGTTCGTAAGCCTTTTGCTCGCTCTCGGGTCACGTCGATTTACTTACAATACCCATCGTTTGCAAGTCTTACTCCTTTAAATCCAAGTTATTTAGAGGAAAATCACCATAACGTTGTAAATGATTCCCAGCAGAAAAACGGACTTAAGCGTTTAAAGATTTTACTTACACGCTTCTCCAACGGTCAATGCTCGGAAAACTTGTAAGCGATAAAAGTTAAAGGTACTAAAATATTACATTTTACGATAAAAAGTACATGCATGTGTTGTGTCTCCACCTTAAATATTTTACGTTTATTGGGGGTTTGACATTAAAAGAATGGAGAATGTTTAATTTAAGAATAACTCAAGCCTTTGAAGTAAGTTATTTATTGTCATACTTTGAACTTTTTCAGACTTGGTTTTTGTAGTCCTTTGTTTTGTAAAACGTGGAAAGTTAATACTACAAAGCACCTTTTATTACTTTTACCAGCGAGGGTTCAAGTAAAAGACATATTTTAGTTAAGCCTATGTAAAAATCGATTTTAATTTGCTTTATTCTAATATAATAATCAACATATATTATTATTAATCAATCATAGTATCATTTTATAATGTAACCGTGTTGTGTAAATGATGTCATCTAACGCATTCGGATGTAGTAGTTACATAAAAACTTTTAAAAATTTAGGTGTGAAAGTGCTCAATCAGTGAAATTCTAAATACTTAAAACTTTAGAAACAAAAATCTTCCAGTTGCCCTTTTTTTCTGTACGGAAATCCCCTTGGATACCACCAATGGGATGATGGTGGGATGGTTATGTCGGACTACAAAACTACGAGCCATCCCGGGTACCAGTTGCCGGGGAACCAGGTGTATCCTAGATAGGAAATTCCATGCACCCCGACGTACCTCGGGCCTTTTACGGCGTATATATGACCCCGTCCTGTGTGGGAACCCCTATGTCCCATTTGTGCTACCAGTTACCCTGTAGGCAACGCCATATGTTTTCATATTTTTAGCCTAACCTACTGCCATGGTCTAACCTAAAAAACCTACTGCCATGGTCAGAAACTTAAGAAAATTTTAATCTAACTGGACTCTTTCTAGTATTTTATAAAGTCACATACAAGAAAATAACTTTATGTGATAAGTGTTTACCCTATGATTTGGTATTGTGTAGAATACTAACGATCATCATTTTTTTATTGTTTCATTGTTCACTAAGGTCTCATCCACTAATGGATTCAGCTGTGCGTCATGAAGGCGATGCACCGGCCTTCTACAAGCGAGATCTAGTGCTCACCACCATTGTCGCAGACCGACAGTTCGTTGACATGCTGGGAGATGACATCACATATACTGTTTTCTATGCGGGCACCAGTAAGTTGGCGTGTTTCTCTGAATTTTAAGAACATTCATCAGCTTGATTTAAAATAAAATTAAACTGAGGTAATGTAACTATCAGCAGTTCGTCCGGATTAAAGAATCGCTTATGCTTACTTATTTGTAAACTTTTTGTTTGAAAATTGTTTTAAAATATTTTAGTGTTCTAAAGCTGTTATGTTTAGGTGCCGGAGAAGTGTACAAAATAGTTCAGTGGGCAGGCGGTGGGGGCTACGGATCTCGAGTAGCAGATGTTTGGCGGGCCGCCGGAGACGAACCCGTGAGAGCTCTTGCGCTATCGCGCAGAATACATGCACTATACCTCGCCACTGATAACCGACTGAGACAACTGCCGCTCAGAGCCTGCGCACATCGGTAAGTTAGCAAAGGAACTTAAGTACACCATCTATTGGTTTCTCTCGGTATTAAGGTTCTTTCAAGAAAAATCAAAAGAAAATTAAGAAAGCTAAGTTTGAATAAAATAACTTATTGCTCTGCTTTTTTAATTTTTTTGGTAAATAATAATTTTGTTGCCGGTGCCGGTTAGTTCCATCCGTAGATGCTTAGTTTGCGAGTTAAAACCTACAAAGTAACAAACAAATAAAATTTTCAGTCTCTTGAGATTAATACAACCAAGGGCTGGGTACTGCCATCGTGTTAGTATGATACAAATCGATATTTTAATATCTTATCAAATGGCTACCAATAGCGTCCACAAACTATTAGATGTTTAAAATCTTATGGCAAAATTATCTAAATTTCATAAATTTAGGCTTCTGAAATTAAATATAAATACTAAAAATTAACGCATGAAATAATGTTAAGTTACTAACTTGTTGGGCGTTTTGTTTTAGTGTTTTACTGCTCGAATTCGAAGAAAAATGGTTTATCATCAAGTTGGCTTTTAATAAAAAAGTGAAATTTAAAATTCTATTTTGCCCCAAACAGATATGACAGTTGTGTCCGTTGCGTTCTGGACCCTTACTGTGGTTGGGATAAAGAGGTGGGAGCATGTCGTCCATACAGTCCTGGTTTACTGCACGATGCAACGAATTCAACACCATCAATATGTGAAGCCAGTGCCCCTATCAAAACTGTTAGAGCTGGTTATGGGCAAAGCGTTCACTTGGCAGCTTTTGGAAAAACACCAGAAGCTCTAAAAGATCAGAACGTAATTTGGTACCACCATTCAAGAGAGAAAGGACGTTATAGAATAAGTTTCAAGTAAGTTATGCTCCATTTGCCTTGTATATTCATTTTATCAGTAATACATATAAATGCAGTATTCATAACTTACTAAAATATATGCTTCCAACATTTCCCATTCGTTTATTTTAACTTGTAACGAGATAAAATAGATTGCAATAATATACTCAAGTCTAATTTAATGTCTCTTATCTAATCTTACCTTGTCCTTAGTTGGGATCGTGTTTTGCAAACGTCAGAACGCGGTCTGGTGTTGTTGTCAGTGACAGAATCTGATCGCGGTCGATATGAATGCTACTTTGGTCCAACGCTGATATCTTCATATAACTTAGACATCGATATACACAGGTTAGTAAAATAAACACTTATCTAAATACACCATATTTCAAGTGTTATTAATTATTGAGAAGCGTTGCTGTTTGTATTATTGTGTTGATTGGTGAATGTACATATATGCTTGACTATCGACATTCGGTAAAAGTAATTTATGTTTCTTGAAAGATAATATCAATGACTTACAGAGAAAAATATAATAGTACACAAAAAATAATTATCAATCAGTGGAGTTGGTCAGATAGTTTTGAAAAAGATAATGTGTATCAGGTATTGCAGAAACGTTTGTGGGACAATGTTTGTATTAGGCTAATAATAATAATACTAAATGAAAAAGAAAAACATAAAATATTTGGATTTATCTCACGAGATTGTCGATATGTGGAATGTTGATTTAGTAATCATTATTCCGATAGTCATATCTGCTCACGGATTGATAGCCAAGAGCCTCGACCAACACCTTAAGAGGCTCACGTTGGACGGCTGGATCAAGGGTCTTATGCAGAAGGCAGTCCTCCTTGACACGGCTCGTATAGTGTGGAGGTTCCTATCTTTGGAGTCCTAACCACCGGTGTCTTGGTCCCTGTACCCGACGTCGGTGGTCTACTATTTTTTATATTTTTAACTGTATTTTTAATAAAAAAAATTAAGTGTATGTTTAAAAATGTAAATAATATGTATATAAAGTAAATAAAGAGAATAATACTAATAATTTTTTTAGCACAATTTAAATTATGCTGTAATTGCTATGTTACTTAAATGGTTTTATGTAGTACACATGATGACATGATCGTGTTAATCTAATTCTAACCATCGCATTTGTCAATCATTGATGTAATCGATAGCCATAAATTAGATTTAGAACGACTTCTGATAGATGTCAACCGTCTCCTGATCGCCTTATCACCTATTCTATTTAAGTTACTTATTTATTAATATTATTAAAATTGCAAGTTTGTGGGATGTGATTGCATCACGACCTTAAACATGCCACTTTTCACCGAGAGAAAATATTGATTATATTTTCTGCTATCAGTAGAATAAAATATTTAAGGTTATAGAAATATTTATATATGATACCATATATAGTTATTTCTTGTCACTATCACTTATCACTAGTTTTTCTGAAATAAAACATCGTATTATGCAAAGACAACAAATTTACAATGTTTAGTAAGTTTTACTGAAAAGAAATCTCTACCCAAATGAAACCTCTGTTGGATATAAATTCAATAAAGATTTCATGTTGGTATGAGAGTTATTTATAATGTATAGACATTGACTCCGTTACAGATGTACGCAACCAAGTAAATCTCAAGAGTACAAGCAAGTGTATTCAGACTGGTGTCACGAGTTCGAAAAATATAAAAGCGCTATGAAGGCTTGGGAATCGCGACAAATGGTAAGCTTTTTCCTTGCTTCTGACCACTTGGATATACTAACATTGTAGAATTAACCTTTTAAATAATGTTTTATTAACCTCAAGTAACAAGTTAAATATAATGGGCTCTAACTATTCTACTCTAATATTTCTTTTAATATTGACACTATTTACATATTTGGTATTATCATTTTTTTAAATGTAGGTATTAATTTTATATACATGAAATGAGCAATTGAATCAATATTTTTTTTATTTTCATTTTCGAGATAATGATGATATAATTTCTGATGTATATGAAAACAATGAAGATCACACACACATCACATTTAAATCGGCTTCTCTATTCTCTAGTCTATTTTTGCATTAGAATGTGCCTTTATATTGCTCATACATTACCTATATCATCACCGATTCATCGTATCGCGTACTTTTTAATTGCAAATTTACAGATACACTTACTTTAAAAAACTCGAATTCTTCTTGTTATATTCACTTTTTAATTCTAATAGCAATCGATACCACAAACATTCTTACCTATTCAACCTCCATGGGAATTAATGGCACATGTCCATGTTTATCCGGCGCCGGTATCCCAAACTCGTTAATCTTGCTTTCAGGCTCTTTCAGGGTTCAGTACACAGCTTTGTAAGGTTAGTTGCACTTGAATAATAATGGCTCAACTATTATCAAATATTAAATACATCCTACTTTTGATATTTTTTATTGATTTGTGCTAAATTTTTCCTACCATGTACCTACACGAATGTTGTCTAATTATTTGCAAGTTAATTTTTCAATCCATACTGACTGCTTTCGAGTCCAGCCTATTTTAAAACTACTGTCAGTCATAGTTTATACTTTTAGATACCATTAAGTTGTCAGGTGTATAGCGTGTCATACGGCGTTTGAGTGAGGGCCAAGTCTTGACAAATATCCATCATTGTTAATAAATAAGAAGAATGTCAGAAGGAATATGTTAAACACAAAGCTTTGTTATTTATATCGCCTTATGTCTTCCTACTACATAGAGTCAAATTAATCAAACTGTTAAACTTACACAAATATGTATGTGTGTTCGACATTTCTTATATATATTGGACATTATAAGCATATCTTTATTCATGCCATATTTTAAGCTTAAATGTATTGTGTTTTAGTTTACAAGAATAATTAAATGCTAAATGGAATTTACAGAGAATTTTGATCCACTTTCAAGCAGTAACCAATACATAATGTACTACGTATATACCGAAATCTAGTAAAGTCAACAGAAAGCTTGCAATTTATGCCTGCAGTCGACTCTGTAAATATTAAAATATTTGATTACTTAAACAAACATTTCATCATCAACATCACAAAAAACATTTTCATGTCAAATTTACCAACACACATGCTATAGATATGTTTCTTTAAGTCCATTTACTAAAGGCTGTTATTAAATTCTTGGCCACGTGTTTTTCATCAAAACTTTAGTTTTATTATAGTAAATTTACTATATTTAACCTAACTATTCTCAAACGAATAGTTAATAGCATTATAGTGTAATTACCTTAATTCGTTTCGGCCTAAAAAACTTATAATGATGATGAATCAAACGGTTCCTATGTAGGTATATAGAGAATCCTTGACTTGGAAAAAGGTTTTTAAGTCATTATTTTATATATGTATATGTTTTATCGTCAGAAACTGTGTTATCTGTTTTCAAATTTAGATTCTGATTTCTGCCTAAAATTTTAAACAAGCAAAGTCTCTTTTTTTAAGAAAATCAGCAAGCAGTTTTGTTACATCACATTGATATGTGTTTGTTAAAAAAATATCTTTGTGAATCATGACAAAAAGAATAATGTCATTGTAGATATCATTTAATAGATTAAGTCATTTTATATACCTCTTGTACTATTAAAACATAAATGTATAGCCACCTAAATTATTCGAGTCACAATTGTGTCAATGCTCAACACCTAACTCTAACTGTGAACAGTCTGCTTATCATGTCCTCTGGGAATGTAGTCTTTGGTATAATGAACGTAATAAAATGCTGAATAGCTTGCAGGTGACATCTGGGGCGGTATACTATGGGGATCTTGTGTCAACTAGGGTGAATTTCCTTGCGTTTAGGCGATTCGCCATATATATTATCGAAATCAAATATAATCCCATAATATTTTGTAGCCGCGGTGCTTCCCTGTTTAAAAGGTTGTATGCCTATTTTACTTCATTTTGTCGCCCGCTTTGCTAAGGAGGGAAGTGGATTTACTGTAATTCAAACTCCTCCAATTTTCTCCTGATTAATTTCGTTGCGGGTTCCAGCGACAATTTAACTTTTTTCATGGGACTTCCCGTCATAACTCGGCGTGTTCGTGGGTCACTGCTGTTGGTCCTGGTGTACAGGAGTTACAGTGGTTAGCATGTGGGAGAGATTAGTCCCATGAAAAAGCCACCTCCAATCGCAACCGACAAACTTTACCTCCAAGTAGAAGTCTATAAAGATGTCACATGTTTCCTATTTATTCGTTAAATTGCGTAACTTTATATAGAATTCAGCTTCAAATTCACCTTATTCTTCTTTTGAAACTGTACATGGTTGTATAAATATGTATTTCACATATACAATTTATATCTACAGTTTTTGAATATTTGGCCAAGACATTGTAAAAACGTCACTGAAAAAGAAAAGAAAATATAAAACTTTTATCTTTCTTCTTTATTAATACTGAAATAAGAAAAGAATGTGAATATTTGAAAAGATTGTGATTAGTCTGGAAATCAGCTGTTTTAGGTCAATACTTAATAATTAGGACAATTGTCCTGATTGTGCATTTTCGTCTTCAAAATTGTGATGTCCAACATTTATAGATGTTGTGTTTTCAGCAATGCTCCAAAAGCCTGAATGTATCGAGCCAGCAAAACAGTATGTCGAACGAGATCGTGGCGTCGCTGCGGTGATAGGGCACAGCTCGCTAGTGATTAATGAGCGATTACACACACCGAGCCACACTAACGTAAACTAGCCGATATTTCGCAGACACAACCCTCGCTTACCCTTACTATGAAATCTGTCTCTTACAGTATTTATAAATGCTAACAAAGAAGAAAAAAATTAACAGAAAACTTGTAAATACTAAAATAAACTTTGTAGGCGTCATTGTGAACTAATCATTTTCTCAAACAAATTGTAGCATAGTCTTTTTTGGAATGTACAAAATCACTCAAATAGATCATGTCGTGAAATAACGAGTAGTCAGAGCGAGTTGAGTGACGAGTACCAGTGGTAGAGGAGCGCAACTAAAAGGGGAATGATAATGTAGTGAGGGGATGATCTGTTAAAATAGATTTGTTGCCCGTTCCGAAGACTGCTCCGTGATGGATTGCTGACTTCTGTTCAACTTTCGCCTATAACTTTTTTTCCTTTGTTATCAGATAAAGTATCGTATAGTTTATATTAGTTATAAGTAAACAAGATTAATTAAAATATTAACAAAAGCGACTGAGTAAAATATAGTGACGATAATATTGTCTCGGTGAAAGAAATAAGCGCTTTGAAGAAGAGCGTATATTAGAATTCGCCTTCGCATACTTCTGTAAATATGTGGTAAACATCAAACTATACAGATGTTGTGCCACCAATATTAAATGCTGTGATATCAATCCTCATTGGATCATTGTGCTGGCAAATATTTAATTGTACGTTGTATTTGTTAATAAAAAAAAATTATTTGATTTAATTTCATCCAACCAGCTACTACGAGTCTTTATTGTTTACTTGACGTCTTTGAATTCTCCTAACATTTGTTAATAGGGGCTCACGCCAAGATGGTGAATCTCAAAAAATGTACTCAAATATCCTAAAACACTCGTCAGTAAGCTATAAAGACTGATGCTAGGGGTTCAGAGCACAAAATAGATTGCACCAACTTTCAAAAACGATTAAGTAAGTTTGCAAACGCCAGTTCATTTAACAGCAATTAAAAACGTGACAGTTCCTTGTGTTAACTAAGTTATTAAGTTTAAGTTTTGGTGCAATCGATTCGAAAGTTCGTGACATGTAGATAACTAAAACGTATTTATAGGAACTATGGGAGTATTTAAAATAAAGAGCAATACAAACGCCAACTTAGTTGTAAGAAAATGTTGTATGAAAAGATGCTTACTTGTACCGCGTCAAGTTTGATGCCTAGAATAGTATGTTCGATTGTTTGATTGTATACCTACATTTGTGTTGGACTAAGTTGACTGTTGCGTGTTAAAGTACTGTTCCATATCGTACAGTTATGCGGTTTTATGTTTCAAAAAGTTGTTATTGATTTATCGCCATAAAATGTAATTTTAGGCCCGACTTCGGACTTCGAAACCGAATTTAATAGCTGGTCGTGTTTATTATTTGAATTTATAATAATCTCGCTAGAATAGTGCCTTGTGAAGCATGCTTTCATTATACTAAAAAACTTAAAGAATTATTGAGTAGATAATATTTTTGTGTACCAGCGAAGGAAATTGATAATGATAGTTATTAAGTAACTCATTCGTAAATAAAGCAATAATGTTCCACTGATTTATTAGTCACAAGTATTATAATAAATGATCTGCAGAGAGTAGATAGTGATGTATTCGACAAAATTGTTAGTACTTAAGATATTGAAAGTTACGATTTAAATATCTATGTTATGATCGAGCTCTTGCTTAGTTGGTATTCTGACTCATTTTATTATTGCGGAAGCCTGTGATGATTTTTCAGAACATCAAGGTGAAAGAAGAAAAGGAATATTTTACAGATCGATATGCCTAGAATTTATATTATCTCAAATTTCGCCTTGTGTCGAACGATTGTCTAGGATTTGCATGTTGTTATTAAAGTTCGTGTTAAGATTACTTTGCATTTTTAAATTCTTTGGAATTGCATTATGAAGTATGTTAGCCTTTATTTATATTACTCAAATGTTATTGTATAAATATATTGTAAATAATTATTAAAGTAGAAAAAAAAAGCGCTACGAAATATGTTTATTGTAAAAATGTACCACTAAGTTAGATTATAAGCAATTGTTTTATAAAAGAAACAAGAAAATAAATTATTTTAGATCTATCATTTTGTTTTACTTTTATTTCATCATCATATATTATTTCGTTACGACTAAAAGAATATTACTTAATAGCACTATTATTTTTAATAGAGAACTTGATTTGAAAGTATTTTTTTTGGGATCAGTGTATTATTAAAATTCTGGAATCACCAATATTCCATTGTGAGACTCACTCGCAATCACCAGTGTTCCATATACACGAAATAATAATTGTTGCACTATAAGAAAAGTCAAAGTCAAAAATAAGTTTAAAATCATGTTTAAGGACAAGGACTATTCTCACTAATTATGTTCTTTAAAAAAATAAGCCACAATTATAATCCGAATTCTTAGTAATAAGCTGTTATTACTGTTACTTATATCTTTTTACGGACAATGAAACCGTAATTTGGGTATCGTAAACGACGCCTGTCTTAGATTGGCGAACATCATAGAATTTCATTACTGAGGGAGACTGAAATAATTGGCGACTCGCCTGTAATGGCAGCGCTTTACGGCCAAATTAATAGATTTCCGCTGCGGGACCCGCTCAACCTCTACTGAACTCGTTTTGGTATTAATTGCTGACCTAAAATCACTTCACTAATATACTTTAATGATTGAAATAGCCAATAAATTATTAACTCTGTCAACGCTACTGGCTGGGTGTGTAATTGAAGAGTTGTCACCTCTGTTAATAATATTAATTATTTTTTCTCAAGATTTGGCTGTGTGGAACAAATAGAGGTCAGACAAATTTTTTACCTAAAGCTAATAAATAATGCTATTGGTAACACAGTTGGCGCCGGATTGACGAGACTTCAGGAGCCGTTTTATTGAACATATGTACTAACAAATTCATAGCAAGAAAGTTAATTAATTATATAAGCCACAATTTGGCAAACAAAACCATTATGATGGGTTTGAATTATGAACAGGTAAGGATCACTTAGGCCTCTCCTTAGAAAGGACTTTTCTAAGGAGAGGCCTATGTCCAGCAGTGGACTATTAAAGGCTGTCGATGTGATGTTATGTGAAGGATCACTTATGAGTGTCTTGTTTTTTTTTTATGTTAGAGGGGGCAGACGAGCAGACGGGTCACCTGATGGAAAGTGACTATCGCCGCCCATGAACGTCTGCAACTCAGTTAAGTAAGTACTACTTTTATGTGGCAATAAAATATCTAAAATAATTAGAATTCTTATTTGAATCTGGTTGGTATATTGGTACGTTGGTGGTACATTGATCTTAAGGTATATTTCAAAATGGAAAAGTATGCTTTGAGACTGGATAAGCATGGGCCGGCGAACATACTGATTACATCATTGGTTCTTCGAGGCACACTTAACACACACAACACCAATGTGACAGACAGAGAAAACAGAAACAACAAAATTGCAAAGCGATACAGCATATAGGACGGAGAATAGAGCATTATACTAATCTATTCGTTGTTATTTTTTGTACATGGAACTTGAATAGTGGATAAAATTTGAAAAACTTCACAAACAACAGATCCGATTGTTCGTCCACATTTTTCTTTGCAACTTTCATTGCTTATGTCTGAGTCTAACAATGTGATGACGTTTGTGGTTTTCTCTTGTTAGTCTTTGTTCAAAACCTTTGGAGTACGATGTAGATTTTTCAACTATTTCTAAAACAAAATCATGTTTATAAGAGTAGTCACAGTGATTCTTGTTACTACACAGAAACGGTTTTTTTAAATTCGGGTATAATCATATTGTGGTGTAATCAAATACGAATTTTTTTTCGAAATTAAGAACTTTTAAGAAGTTAGTTTGTGACATTTTTAACATACTAAGGAGATACATTAATTGATGTAGTGACATTTTCTACTTAAAACTTTAAGTGAACTTTTCCGATTTATATTCAATGTCAAACGATACTTGCTTAAAACCGATAATGACGACAGATATTACAAATTGAACTTGATTGAAAGGTTATCTTATGATATTTTTCTAAAGTAGTTATACAAGTAGCTATGCTTAACTCTATTTTCACCTAATTAGTCCAGTACCTGAACTCTACAGAAAACCTTATCTATACTAATATTATAAAGCTGAAGAGTTTGTTTGTTTGTTTGTTTGTTTGTTTGAACGCGCTAATCTCAGGAACTACTGGTCCGATTTGAAAAATTCTTTCAGTGTTAGATAGCCCATTTATCGAGGAAGGCTATAGGCTATATATCATCACGCTAAGACCAATAGGAGCGGAGCACCAATGAAGAATGTTTCAAAAACGGAGAAAATTTATTACTATTGAGAGACGCAGACGAAGTTGCGCGGGTCAGCTAGTGTTATAATAAAATTATCATTTACTCGCTTTAAACTCAGCCATAAATCATCGAATCAGGATAGTACTGTTTTTTTTTTGTGTGTTAACGGCGAAATGAGGATCAATGCAGAGCAGAGCATAGTATGTGCGATCAAAATAGTTACGAGCGAATTTGTACGGAGTAAATAATTTTACACCAGTAGAAATGGAAAACGATACTTTAATCGTGTTCTTATACTATTTTTGACCTTTTTACCTAGTGGGAAGGGTCGCTGGAATTTTTTTCGATCTTACTCACTACGGAGGAGCTATGGAGCTATATTAAAAAAAAAATGAGTATATTTTTTTTCTTAGGTTTTATTAATAAAGTAATTTGTGGTTATGATATTGTGTTTTTGTTTTTATACAAGGTTATTATAATATTTGACTACGTACCCACATACTAAAGTATGCAAATTAAATAAGTTAGCGTAGTCGAGCCACTACAGTACAGGCTGAAATATTAAAATTAAAACCACACAAGGCATGTTGAACTTATTTAAAGTTTTCATTATATTGTAGAATAATTAATTCTTCAAGTCAGTGTGAGTA